ATAGGTTGTACAGTCATAAACACCTGTAGTTTAATCTTAAAATCCTATTCATTATTTTGGATGCCAAAACAGATCATCAAACAGTGCCAGATCATACTCAACTTCCTAGCAGCTGAGGGTGCACTGACTACTAAACACATTGACATCATCTGGGCAGCTACTCAACTCAAGCATTCAGGCCGCTATGTTCATGATCTTTTCCCTCATCTGATCAAGCATCTTGAGGCTGGTCCGCTCTTTCATCTGTTGAAACTGGTGTCACGGTTACACCCCTCAGAACACACTGAGCAGGTAAGATTCCCTCGTCTACATTTTGTAGAAATTTGCCTGTTTGGTTTTACTGGAAAATTTTGTAGACTCACTAAAAATGTTTCAGCTGTTAGTGTTGTTTGTAATGGATTTCACATATCTGCATGGACGTATTCCAAGAGATGAGAAATTTAAATCTTAGGGTTACACTCTAGTGTTCTATAAAGGAATGCAGTTCTCTGAGTACGAGTGTGAGTACATGGGTATGAGTACGAGTACATGGCATTTTTTCATGCAAGGATGAGTACATTAAGAGGAGCAGGAGTACAAGTACTACAACAATTAAGTCTAAAGTGTTTATAGACAGAGCATAAAGGTATGACATGATGAGGTGGGTTTTTTTTTCAGACCTTGTACCTCTCTCAAGTAATAACAAAATGTATCTGGACAAGTGCGATCTCCAGCAGTGCAGTGAGTGCCACTACTCCATTGAGGCCAGATGTTAGACATTCTCAGCATGAGTTTCCTCTACTTAGGAGCAGCCTAGAAATGGGCTCAGACAAAGGTAACATTCAACCAGTTGATTGGTCAATATGTCTGTGTACTTAAGCTGACCAGTCATTTTGTCAGCCACTTTTATTGAGCTGTGTTTGCCACTCGAGTTAAATGTAACTTCAAGGTCAGGTCAGACATCCAAACAAGCAATTAGTATAATGAAATGAACAGTCTGGTACTTCATAAGATTATGCAGTGGGGTTAGAAAAACACCAAGTTTAAATTATTTATATACACAAACTGTCTTTCTAATGTCAAATGAAAAGTAAGACATTTCAGTGTAGAGATGTAAAAAGGGATGGAAATAATTCTTAAGGAATTTGGGCTGCATCACTTTCTAACTACATTTCAGCTTTTAAGTTACTTCACTCCAAACAGCCCTGAAACAACACTTTAATGGAATTTGAGACTGCTTTCATTCCCAGGTCATCTTGGTGTCATGAATAGCAACAACAGCCGCATGGTAGAGATCTATGAGCTGGAAGAAGATGATGATAATAACACTGAGGAAACTCCACAAAGTGTCATAGAAGATCAGTCTCCACATTGCAGTCATCACCAAGAGGTAGGCTAGATCCTAATGCAGAGGAAGAGTGAGGATAAACCAGCCCGTATGAGATCGCTACATTGGTGAAACCAGGGTATCTATTCATTCTGGACAGATTGGCTGGAAACTAAATAAATGTAGATAAGATACAGCAGCCAACAAGATGATTAAGTTGGAATTTACAAAATTGTATGTGAGAGATTAATTTTAATACTCGTAGTATGGGAACTTCCAAAGCCCTTAAAGACAGTCATAAGTGGAAGTCTCAGGAAAGGAGGGGAGTACAAATTTATGGCAGAATCTACCTCTGTATTTTTGTCAATTTTGACGGACTTCAACTGTGCACAATAAATGTTAAGTCAGATATCCATTATTTGTATAACACTGCAACTGTCTGTTTTTGTTCCACATAGTCAATGTAAGGCTGGAAAAGAAATTACAATCAAGCTGTGCCATCGGTATTTAGGAATAGGTGGTTTCTTTTTGTTAGCATTTCATGTGTATGTAACTAAGATCACTGCAGTCAACTTCATTCCCATGGTTCTGATGTTGCTACACCATGATAGTTACTACCATGCCTTGCCAATTATAACTCATGGTACTTTGTAACTGAAATATTCAACTACATGTATTTTGGAGATTGAAATTAAAACCGCTATAGATATACACCTCAGCCATCTCCTTCAAGTTGTGGTTATTTCTAATACTCTGATAAAGGCATGCCAGTCTAGAAAAAATTGTTTACACATTATTTCTGCCCTTCCATGTGTGTGCACATTGCAATTTCAATTTATGCATATTCGATCTGAATAACTAGTTAGCGTCATTTTGTTGTCTACTTTATAGCCGGTGCTAGTGAAGGAACGTGCACTCAGCTTGTGGGAAGGAGGCTGCACTGCAGTTTGATTGAAATTATGTCTTCTTCCCCTTCTGTTTTGTGATCAAACTGTGATGAAAACCTTGAACAATTGTCATGTAAATTTTTTATAGGATGATAGCATAGATGCCAGCAGGGTCAAGTCTCTTAACACTACTGAGAAAGAACCAGAAACATCCAAAGGGAAACCTCGGCCTGAAATAAGGAGTGACCCCTCTGGCTCTCGTAACACCCACCATTCACACAAACCTCTCAGAGCTGTAGCCATCCGTCGACGCAAAAGGCTCATAAAACCAAGACCGGCCGAGGATGGATCAGAAAGTTCAATAACAGAACATGACTCAGATAACATTGATTCAGAGAATGAGGCTATGGTGACTAGTCCAGAAAACTCTGAAAGTGATAGTGATGTCACTGAAGAAAGTGAGGAGCATGGGACACAACTTGGAAGTGAGTATGAAGATGTTAGTGAGGAAAGTGATGCAGAGATGCAGAGTGAAGAAGAAGATGAAGAGAGGACAGGAATGAGACATCCATGCTGCTCTGACAGGCACAGATCCACCTTATTGGGACATCAGAGCCACCTACGCAAATGCCTTCAAGGTGGAGATATCAGTGACAGTGCAACATCAGAGGAGAGCGAAGGAATCCAGCATGGACGCTTTTTCCAAGCTACAGTTCGGCCACGACGGATTAAAAAGCAGCTCCTGATGGGAAAACTGGAGGAGAAGGCAAAGGAAGCTAGAGAGGAAGAAGTGGAAGAAGAGAGAAAGACTGAAGATGCTGATGTAGAGATTGAAAGGACTCCTGTACATCACGAAGGAGTGATAGGATCATTACCATCTTCTCCTCAATCAGACCATAGGCAGCTGCCTCAGGAGGCGAGGGAAGCTGAAGATTACTATGTGAGGAATAGAAACCTGGAAACGGAGGTATATGACTGCAGAAGGTACTTGCCACACCATCACACAGTTCGAAGGTGGGTCGTTCAGCCATTACAAAACAATATTTTAGCATTCTTGTATGTGGCCGAAAATATCTGTTTCGGAACACTTTCTGAAATACTTTCCTTCCTGTTCCATTTCTTGTCCCCCATATAGCAATGTCATGGATGATCTGATCAGTGCTGAGGAAGGGTCTTGCAGTAGCTCCCAGGCTAGTGCTAAGTCTGAAAAGAACATGGCTGACTTTGATGGGGAGGAAGAAGAGGATTCAGCATGTGAGGATGAGATGGTGCAGCTCAGTGCTCACCTAAGCTCTATACATCATCACCAGCATACACATCGCCATAGACACCATCATCACTTGCCAGATATTAGTCCTGTGTATCGCAGCCGCCTCTCAAGTAATCAAACATGGCTTCTTTTCCCTTTAGTGACATTTTCAGTCTGTGAAACCTATTTTACAAGGGGCAGAGTTTCACATACGTTTGGAAGCATTAAAATTTCATTTTTTTTCTGTCTTAGAATTTGAAGACATGAATATGTTAAGATCATCCATTGCTTATTGAGGGAAGATAATGTGAAATCTTTGTGTCTGATTATTGTAGGTACATGCTCTCACCATACTGAGAAGGAGGATATTGCAACCCCATTTGCAGATTTCAACTTTGATGATGTTTGCAAGAAAGGCCACACCTTGCTCTGGGACCAAGTACAGGATGAAAATGCGGTAAATTAAACCTGTTGCATTGTTATTGGTGATTACATCTTTATGCATCTTGAGCAAGACTTGCAAAGATTGAACCAAGAAGAAATGACTTATGCAAGGCTTCACTTAAAATGAAGTAACGGGTCCTTTTCTTTGGAACTTGAAACAAATTCTAAAACAAGACTTATTAGCCCTTACTCTGGGGAAAGTGTAGAATTCCCATACACACATTGGTAAACTTTTTTGTCATTTCATCATTGAAGAAGTCACCCTGGATGTTACATTACATGTATATCCTTGTCATTGTGCATTTGGCAAGTATGTTCTTCATGAGCGATACATTCCCATCATAGTGCTCTAAGAGGAACTAAACTTGAACATTACATCTGTACATCGTTACAATCAATGCAGCAGCCTACTTTACACTTCCCATACACCTTCAATATGCAACATATAATCTGAAGTTTCAAGGCTACATATATTCTGTCATTTACAGAATAACCATGGATATATCATTTAATATTTTATAAATTATTACCATTAATATTTGTGCGTAGGACAGTGTATGGAATCAAACAGTTGATGCATGCATGATAGACAGGTTCTTAACCACTTCCTGTCGGGGCAGTTATCAATGTTGATGATGCTGGGGTGGGATATTTATCATTTTTTTGTGTTTTCAAAATTCTTTAAAAATTCGTATCTTCGTTTACTGGACACTTATAAACATGTGAAGGATTGTCTGGTGTCCACTCTAGCCTGACAGACAAAATCTATTGACACTTGAGTATTTCAGCCAGGCCTGTAGCCTTGTAAAAAGAGCCCAGATTGTGCGGTGTTATATAACTAACTTTTGTTCACGAACCTGGCTCAGTGTGCTGCTGACCTCTTTTCAGTAGGGGCCAGATAAGCATGTAGCGGTGTTGTGTGGCTCATCGCTGCGGTGGTGGAACGATTTTGTCCCCGGTGGTAATCCGCTCGCTCTAAACACCCCAAACCGTGGTATACTGTTTAAAAACAAAGCTGGATTGTCTCCTCTTTTAAGAGTGAAAAAATGTCGGTGATTCCCAGCAGCCTGATCTTTTGTTCCGAGTACGGTCTTTTGTTTCCAGGCCCCGGTCCCTTTGTCAGAGTTCGGAGACCCTGGCCACACATATAAAGCATACGTGTCCGGATCCAGAATCCCCGGCAGGAAGTGGTTAATGATAACAGTGCCAGTGACCACTAGGACATTATGAAGAATATCTTAAACTCTGATAATCTGAAAGCCATGAAACTACCAGAATTAACCTCTCCCTGCCGGGGATTCCAGTTAATGTGGTTAAATTGCTGAGAATGAGATTTATAATGTACATCTGTGTTTTCCGCTTTCAAGTCCTCGGTTTGAGGTTACACGGCATGTAGGTTTAGCGTTCTTGTGAAGTGGAATTTTTCGTTAGACTCACTGAGAGCCTGTAGCAGTGGCTGATATTGTTTTTACTCCATTTGTGCACTCCATGCACCATTGCGCTTCACAAAAAATTCCACATGCATGCTAAGGAACAATATAAGAAACTATTTTACATGTACTGTTGACTCTCGTTATTACAAAATCAGCTTTAACAAAATTCCGGTTATAACAAACCCATATCTGTGGTCTTGGCAAAAATGTGCACATTTCTATGGGGAGAAAATCTGTTACTGTGAAATTGCATTGTACAAAATTCCTGTTACAATCAAAGGTTTTTGTGACTTTGTTGCCTGAAAAACCATTGTTGATGACCCATTTATAACAAGTGTTTACGAATCTCGGTGGTGAAAATGTGCGTAATGCAATTGAAGCAGTGCTGCACTGGTTCCTGCCGCACCGAACCATTGCCGAAAAAAGGCATGATGGAAATGTGGCAACCAGTCAGTGTACGTATCCTGGCAAAAGTAGCGGCGTACATTACACTACATTGCATACAAATGGGGCTGTACAATTGCACATCAAAAAAAAAAAATTGCTGTTAGAAAATTGATCTCATGTCCATGTTTGTATTTTCTGTGTTTGTGAATTTTATTTTAGGCCGCACTGCTCGTACTTGAAGCGAGCATGTTTTCACAAAATTTCCTGCCGCAGCATGAGGTTTACCGACTCCAGATGCATCATGCACGGTTACAATGTGATATACCGACATTGTTCGCCAGTTTCCTGTTGTCATGACTAGCATAGTGCTTGATTTAAAAAATCAATGATTTTTTTTACACAGATTATAGCAATGCCAGAACAAAAGATTCCTTCCCAATTTCGATAAAAATACACCCCAAATATGTTCCCTCAACTATTCTTGCTTCTGAAGAGCCCAACTAATCGCCAAACACTGAATTACTCATATTGCTGCTAAAAGAACAAGCACACTCATCAATGAGATTGTGTGCTCACATGATGTACACTTTGCAAGATATAGCTATCCAATCACAATATTCCCTCATGACATCATGCTTCTTCGCGGTGGGCAAGTGAACACAGACTATCGATCAATCATAGTCATGCACCTAGTGTTGAACATCAAGAGACATATGGAAAATTAAATAAAAAGTCTCTCCTTTACAATTTGTGTTGGAAAGACTACTTACATGGAAGGGGGGCTTCAGGTTATGAGTGTTCACATTCTTGCAGGTACACACAAGTCCACATGCGCGTGCCATTAAGTTGGTTTCGTCCTCATCCATGGCGATCGAAAGTCTTAAAAAATCCCCGGCTCAATGCTTTTACAGGTACAGTCGACTCTCGTTATTACAAAATCCGCCATGTACAGTGTACATTTACATGTACTGTATGTTAATACATGTGAATGTGATCGATGTCAAGATCTTTCGGTTATGATAAATCAAATATACTGTGATGTGTTTAGAATAATTAATTTCACTGTCACATGAAAACATATTTAATGTACATGTGAAGATACAAAGCAAACAAAAGCATCAGGCCAGGGATTTTTAAAAGACTTTTGATCGCCACGAATGAGGACCGTGACGAAGCTAACATAATGGCACACACATGTCGGCCTGTGTGTACCTGACAGAATGTGAAGACTCGTCAACTGAAGGATCCACCCATGTAAATAGTCTTTCCAACACAAACTCTGTCATGGGGAAGCATTTTTAGTTTACTTTCCATGTGTCTTTTGATGTTTGACACTAGCCGAATGACCATGATAATTGATCAATAGTCTGAGTTTACTCGTGCAACAAGGCGAGCACCTGCGCGAGATTGTCAATGAAGAAGTATGATGTCTTAAGGGAATATTGTGATTGAAAAGATACAAATATGTCTTCAAAAGGTACGTTATGCAGGTGCACAATCTCATAGGTTGGCACACTAGTTATTTAGCAGCATTAAGAATAATTCAGTGTTGGGCGATCAGTTTGGCTCTTCAGAAGCGAACTCATTTGGGGTGTCTTTTTTCGGAATTGGCAAGGGATTCTTGTGTTTTGGTGCTGCTGTAAAAAGTTTTTAAAAATCATCGAATTTTGGAATCGTGCACAATGCTACTCATCAGGACAGGAAACTGGCAAACAATGTCAGTTTATAGCACGTTGTAAGCGTGTGTGTGCATTTGGAGGGGTGGGTGCTAAACCTTGTGCTTAAGCAGGAAATTTGTGAAAACACGTTCACTTTAAGTACAAGCAGTACAACCTCAAGTCAAATCCATGAACACAGAAGAGGCAAACACAGACAGGAGATCAATTTCTGTGAATTTACTTGCAGAAATTTTGTAACGGCAATGGCTTTTGACGTGCAACTGTTGAGCTGCGTTTGTGTAGAGCAACAATACATGTACGTAACTGGTGGTGGTATTTCCAGCATGATTTCTTTGGCAGTAGTTCGCGATTGTGGGAACCAGTGCAGCATTGCCTTAGCGCATGCGTAAATGCTCATTATAAATGGGTCGTCAGCAATGTTTTTTGGGCTACAGAGTCACAGAAACGTTTCATTGTAACAGGAATTTAATACAATTGGGATTTGCAGTAACAGATTTTTCCCCGTTGAGGTGTGCACATTTTTGCCGGCACCAAAGATGTGTGTCTGTTATAACTGGAATTTTGTTATAGCTGATTTCATTATAAGGAAAGTCAACTGTACATGTGTTTGCTTTTTATCTCACATGTACATTAAATATGTTTTCATATGACAGTGGTGTTTATCATTTTGAACATATCACAATATATTTGATAAATCATAACCAAGTAATCTTTTGATATCATTAACATCAACCGCGTTCACCTGTATGCATGTACAGTACATGTAAATGTACATTGTATGTAGCACTGTACACAGTAGGACCTATTCATACCATACACCTAAGCCATTGCACTGAGTTACGCCTACAACGAATTTCAGATACAGTGAACATCCCCACAAGACTCATGGATTTCGTAACAAGAGTCGACTGTACTTATTGTATGTGGGACTTAATGTTTTAAGTTAAGTATCCAAAAAAAGAAACCGCTGTGAAGGAGAGTGCTCTGACTAATGTCAAATGCATACTATTCATGGGAGAACAGGTGGGGATGTGAAAAACACACTTTATGTGGCTAAATGCCATTATGGAGCATAGTAATGGGAATGTATAACACTAGTTATTTTGTTGTGGTCCGCTGATGAAGCTTGAAGTTGCCTGCTGCATTTGCCTTCTCCTGTGTTTTTGGGTGTGCTTACCTTACATACCTAGTGTGGACTTGTGAACAAAAGATGTCCACTCAATGCAGAAAAGAAAGACCTTCTGTGAACTTACACATGTCCAAAGGACGTTTCCTCTTCTCTGAAAAAGAAGTTTAGAGGCATTTGGGGGTAGGGGTCATCGGTTGTAAAAGGAAGAGGAATAGTCAAGGAAACCTTGTACAAAAAGCCAGCTGAAAATCTTGTTCCCAGTTCAAGAAAAACGAGTATGTTCACTAAGTTTTCTTAACTGCATGAAAAAGAAAGGAATGTCCACACAAGGTGTGTAAGGTAAGTGTGGGTGCATATTTGCTAAGTTTTCCCAAGTGCTGTAACTTGAGGACTAGACATACAAGCATCAATCGTGATGTGTAAGCTGGTTTTTGTTTTCATTGGAAGCTTGTTGGTTTTGGACTCAGCAGTTCAGAGATCAAGGTCATTATTGATATGGCAGAGAAATGGTTTTCCCAATGGAGACTTTCCGTGATTATGAATTAAAAGTTGTGAGTTTATATCAGACATAATGGGGCATTTGTACTTACAAATACATCATTCTTCTTTGGTGATAAAAATTGTTGAATTTTGGAGACATTTTATTTACAGTTAAAAAAAGGTTGTCAGTTGAACGCATTTTTAATATTTCCTGTTAATATCGCTATTATAGATCCATCTCAGTGAGGGACTTGCAGCTGAAACTGAAAAACTTCTCTGTTCTCTGGTTTGCTGGTTTCCTGAACGAGAAATTCGCATGAAGTTTGTGGAAGGCTGCTTAGAAAACTTGAAGAACAACAGGTATTCACATTTAAATAAAGAAAATGAAGTTGAAAATTGAAAAGGCATTTTTTTGTCACGTTATCCATCATCCACATTCTTTTTGAAAGCCAGAAAGAAAAGCAAATTACATTCTTCAATGTGAGGTGAGCTCATTTAGGAGTGCACAGATGCGTGCAAGTATTTTGCATTATAGGAGCAGTAATCTCAATATTAAAGTTGTGGATCGTAATTGTATTTCTAAAAAAATGTACATTTTACACGTACCATGTTCATAACTTGGAAAGGAAATGGAACATAGTTCTGTATTTCGGATAAAGAAATAAAACTTTTGAATGCTGAAGCACTAGTTGATTGTTGCAAGGTGTCAAAGCTGCTCTGATCATGTTAAGAAGTAAAATAGAGTTGTCCAAAAGGTAAATTGAAGGCATCATTTATTTGATTGATACCCCTCCTGTATTGATAGGGTTTTGTTTGATGCTTTGAACAGGTCAGAAGTTGTGTCTCTTCGTCTTTTACCAAAGCTGTTTGGGTCCTTTCAACAGTACCGCAACAATTACAACACTCACTGGATTACTATGTAAGTTTGCAGTGTGTCGCTGAGTGCCTTGTGATCATAAAATATAAGTTGCTGTCAATATTGCGTGAGAGATAATTTTCAGGCATGCATCGCTTGAAGGTAGTGGAGTGGATAATTGGTCATAAATTGTATCTTTCGTATTATGTTTAATAGTTGTTTGATGTTTACATGTAGTTGCTGGTGTAGGGCAGCAAGTCTGTGTTTGGAAGGTCTTTTTCAAAGGATTTGTTTGTTGCATGATGTGATATTTATCATGAGGTAATTTCTTTAAAAACATTTGTTACTGATGCCACAGGCTGTGTATTTCAAAATGATCACAAAGTAGTTGTTGAATTAGTCCTGCCCACTGTTTTGAAAAAAAAACTTTAATGGAATGAAGTGGCATTTCTTGAAATCTCTCATAAGTGAATGAGCTGTGAATTTCTGTTGTCACTCTGCATTGGCTGGTCTTAATTCTACACTGCCCTTTAGAGTTGTGATAATGGAATTCTATGGGAGATGATCGCGATGCACCAACCAGATTGCAATCCTTTTGTTATGCAGACTAGATGAAGCCCGGTCAAAGATTTTGACATCAGCTTTTGTTTCAGGCATTTGCATTATCCTTTACTGAGCAAAATGGTCAAAGGTGGTGAACATGACAAAGATCAAAAGGGTGCCAATGGCGACCCCCAAAAAGAAATGGAAAGATGATGAAATATCCCAAGTGAATGTTAGCTTGCGCGGCAAGAAGCAAACTGCACGTAAATTTCTATGTGCTACAAATATCCTAACAAAGACGACTGAGGAATCAGTCGACAAACTGAATGAAAATATCAACCTGCTAATGTCCAATGTGCTGAAGTTAACTGGCCAAGTTGGCAAGCTGAAGGCTGCCAAAACTGCTCAGCATGAGCATGGACTTTGTTGGGATCATTTTTACTATGATGAAGGACCATTTTTCCAAATGCAATGTGATACCCCTGGTACATACACGTATGCTGGTTGGTGCCATGAGGATGAATATGATTGTGATTATGATGAAGCTGCACTGGTCATGCATGATGACCTCGATGAGGATTCTCAAGGCAATAACATACATGACAAAGCTGATAGCGGCTATGTTCGTGATGTTGATTGTGGTAGTGCCGATTGTGCTATAGTTTCTTTGCCTGGGAATAGCAACAATCCAAATACTATATACGTCTGAATGAGCTGAAGGTACTTAAAGAAGAAGATACCAGGCTGCCTTTTGCTGAGCCATTAGCAGGAGGAGTTAAAACGTTCGCGTCAGGCATGAACTACAATTTGGTTATGGAAATTACGGTGGTGATCCTGTGCCTTCAAAACTGTATCGCATTGACTGCAGTTAAATTAGATGAATTAGTCTTTTGAAAGGTCCAACAAAGAAATTTGATGAAAGTCTTCAAGCTGTTCATACAGCTGTTTTGAATTTAGGATTCTACCTCACCAAACTAGTTAACAAGATGCAAAACGACTTTACAACCAATAAGTTTCAATCTGAGTTTCAAGAAGCTGGAACACAATGTGTTGATAAACTGACCACCATGGCCATGTCTAGTTTGGCTATGTTGGGCATGCATACCATAGCCATTGCCTCTGTACTGCCGTTTTTGCTATCTAAATTTGGACACCATGTTTTGAAGAACCAATTTTTCAGGTATTACCTGGCTTTTTTTATTTTTCTTGTATTCATGTTCAATTGAATTGTTTTATCCAAACATAGGAGCTCAGTTGAAGGACCTGGTAGTTGCTGTGCAAAAAAATTCTAATCTTACGAGTTGCTCTGAAAGAAAACTTTTTCTCAGGAATAAACAGAACAAAGTGAATTGGAAGGAGCATAATCATCCTTAGTTTCATTTATTTTTAGTTAGGATTTTTTTTTACAAGACAGCCCCAGTTGGCTTTGAAGTCCCATGGAATTCTGTTATCACAACTGCAGAGGAGAGAGTAGAATTGAAAACTTAAACCACTTTTACCTGAAGTTGAAGTTTGAAGTTCTTCACAGCTGTCTAGAAGTAATACATGTCTTAAGAATTAGATTCACACCCACCCTCCCATTGAATTGTACAGAGGTCTGGGCTGGACTTGTCCCATATTTGCTAGGCTGGTCTGCGTATGTGCGATCCACTCCCATGTATTCTTAATATCACTCCAGAGTGCAGTGTATAATTTCAATCAAATTTCAACTTCAGGTCAGTTTCATTTAATTTTTCATTAATTTATTAAAATTGTCATTCTGTCATCTAGAGAAAGAAACCTGCAAACAGGACTGTGCAAGCCACAGGCTTTGTGCCTGGGATGAATTTCATGAAATATGTCTCAACTTGTTACCCAATTTATGCAGTAAATCATTTCTGAAATGCCTCCGCATGAATTTGTTCAGGTAGACATGATGGTAATGTGAGTTAAGAATTTAGTTTGTCTTTGACATTGTAGGTGGGCAGAGGAGGAGCTTCACATGATGGACTTGTTCTTTAATAACCTCATCCACTACACCAATCAGGTTAGGGGTGGAATACAACAAGATAGATCACTGTGAGTACAACTAACCAACCAAATGTGCTGATGTCTGCTGCTTGTTTATTGCTTGATTACCAATTACTTTGGAATTACTTCATGCGATGTCTTAGAAATGTGTTCCTAGTGAATAAACCCTTGTGCATGCCACACAATGCATGTAGCCATTGTTTGGCAAAAACAAGGGTTTATCCACTGGTAGGAACACAGGGCGAGGGTTCCCCTTGTTTTTCTCTGTTTTCTCCGAGTGACGCAATCTACATTAAGAATTCGCATCTTGGCATGAACAGAAAAAGCCCTTTAAAGCTTGTTATAGTTGAGCTCTGAAGACAAATGACACTGTTCGATTTGGATGCTTCCATATTTATTTGAACAGATAAAAATCAGAGAAAACGATTTTACTTAGAGATGCTCTTTAAGGATTTGTCATCAGTAGTTGCAGTGTTTAGTTGAGCTTGTAAACTAATGCCAAAATTATGCCTTGTTGTCTGGAGACAAAAAGAACCTACATGGTACATGTATGTTCAGTGAGTTCAATGAAATGACCCCTCTGAAATTTGTATGTTTAGTCATATGAATATAGAAATCATTTTTTTTCTGACAATTTGGTGGTTTAGGCAGTTCAAGTATCCATCTTTATATCTGTAACCTCTTACGACCTCTGTTAACATTTTTCACTTGTAATACCGTATTTTCTGGCTTCCCCCTTTAGTTTCTAAAAATTGACAATCCTGCTCTGCATTTACATCAAGCTAATTAGCCACTTTTTAATGACTTGTGACGATGAGCCAAAGCCTAGTTGTCATTCAGGCCCAGTGAATGTCCAGTCATATCTTGAGTTTATCCATGTGGATCTTCTTGCGGAAAAAAAATTGACAGTCCAAATACAATCTGAATTTACTTGAAGAAACTTTAGAGGTGTACCACGTACAAATTTAGGGTCCTTGGAGCTGTGTTATAGTTACATTTTTTTCATCACAATATGTTTCCTTTGAAATCCTGCAATTTCATCTTTGGTTTACATTTTCATGTACATGTTCATGTAGCTTCATGGGATATGGATCTTATCTGCATAAATTTTTGTTTTGGTACCGATGATTGAGAAAACAATGATAATCCTTTTAGCTGATCGTCTTGGTAATCCCATTACAAATCCCATACAAAATATTTGTAGCTAGTATGTCAATATATGTACATATACACAAATGACTTGGGTTTAGGGAAATTAAAACATACGCTTGATTTATCTTAAAATAATGCATTTTGCCCACACAACTCGTAAGGGACAAAGAAACAGAGAGGACAAAGGGGTTAACAACTTGTGTAGGTTTTTCTTTTAGCAGAAAAACGATTTCAACCGAAGGCTTGATTAACCATGTATGTACACGTAGTATCTCATTGGCCCAGACTCTGTGATCCCTGCTATGTATATTTGAAAAATCAGTACTTTTCTTTGGTTGTCAAATGGTTTGGGTAATTGAAAGGGATCATGCAGCTGAGTGGAGTTGCACTTACCTCTGGAATGAGTCTGAAACCTAGATGCATAATTAAGATATCAATTGCCTTTAGAAGGGTTCATAGAAAGTTTTCATTCCTAGAAAATTTTGGTTTTTTTTCGTTTACCTGTTGTGCTTATTAAAAACAGAAGTTCTCAGTCCTAATTTTTGAATTCTGATATTTTGGTTTCAAAAACTGAAACCAGATTTAAAACGCATATATTTTATATCACAGAAAATCCATTGTCACATGACTTCAAATAACTGCTTTTATTCTGGTCTCGGTGTCTTGCAAAGATATTTATTTTTAAAAGTGTTAAACATGTTAAGATATATTGCATTATTTAGTAAACTGGAGTCACAGATGAGGGGATTCTAAAATATTAGGGATGAAATGATGTGGTTGTATTTTTGCTCATTTTGTTCTTGTTGGATAAACCAAAGAGATAAGGTATGATTATGTAGTACTTGAATAGTGCAGTCTTGCAATTGAGGAGATATAGCTGTTATTTTGCAGTGGCTTTGTACTTATATCAGAGGCTTTTGGCAAGAATGCACTCAAATATAACTTTGTTATTTCATGCTATCTCTTTTAAAAAACCTTTCAGTAGGGGAATAGTAGTGTGGCTGTCGAAATTCATGATAAAAGTAAAACTGTGTTCCCATAACAAATACCAATGTTTTCATTTTGGCTTGTTGCATATTCTGTAGGTATACTCATACTGCAGAGGTTCAAGCGAGACTTCAGTTCTTGACTTGTGTGTTCACCACTTTGGGTTCGCCAGATCACTTCAGTAAGTTAATAGCATTAACAATGAAATAAACAAACGTGCTTAGTCTATTGGCAAATTGAATTCAATCTTGCAGGCTTCCAAGTTGGCACCAGTTGTTTTAGTTGTATTAGGTTAGCTTTTAGGTGCAACCTAGATTTCAGAGTAGAGATATGTTTTATTTTTTAATCGTCAACAGATAGTAACATTTAAAGATATGTTATACCGTATCTCCATGTAAATGGTGTACATGGAATAAACACATTTCAACACCTCCAGTACTATTAGAGATTTCATTTTTCAATCACCAGTGTTGGCTAAATACTAAAAAATTTGCAGGCAGGTAACAATGTGAAAAATTTTGAAAAGCTCTAGATTTTAATGGGATCCTGTGACGTGAGACTGATTTCTGTTTGTTTGCTTGTTGGAGTTACATACTTGTCAGGCTGCCAGGCTACAGATCATTTCATTTCCAGCTATTATTTGATGAGGATGATTTCTATTTTGAGCTGGTTCTGTTTTAAAAATAACGCACACTGTAATTCAGACTGTTGCATAGTGTGTGTCAGAAGTGTATTTTTCCTGCTCACTGCAAAATTGACTTTGTTTAATGTCTGCTTTTTATAATAATACCAACAATTGACATCAAATTTCCCACATGCTAATGTTTAGTATATGGGGAAAACCTGACAGTTACTGAATTAAAGCCTTGTACATGTATTTCAGGTGACAGTAAGGACTACCTTGTGACTGTGTCTTCAGTCCTTGGAAGGGCCATGTGTGTAGGCTGCTCTTGTAAACATTCCTAAACACTAAATATTGAATTGGAAGACTCTCAATCAGCTTTTGTTACATTGATAAGTTTGGAATGTGTGACACTCATAGTATGGGATACAGTAAATAAGTTTGGGATTGCAGCTGGTTATACGTTGGGGAGGTTTCACATGTGAATGGATACGCTAAGTTAATTTTCACGATGATCGTGAATACATGAAGAATGTAACACAGATTAACTGGAAATTTAAAATGTGACTAAGCATTTTGTACTTAAGTTTAGCGAGTGAGATATCCATGATGTGTGTACATTTAGCGGATAGTGACATGCGTATGATGTCATGAAACCACACCAACTGGTGATGTATCCGGTGTGCTAAACGTAACCGTTAGCGTGTGAAACCTCCCTATTATTTCAAAGTTCAACTATTTTAGTTTAGGGGTAAATAACCTTTTTTACCTGTGCTGAGTCACAGAGGGTTCAAAATTTAGAAACATCCAGATAGCACCGTATTTCACAGCAGTGATTGATATGCTGTTATTTGTGAACTGTATTTTAGTTTTGCGCTTAGTAACAGGTAAACAAAAATGACAATCAGCATATAAAGTGGTTACACGTACATTTGTTTCCGTAGATCTCTTATTTCAAATTAAAATGGTTAAATCTTGATAAGTGCATGTGCAGTTGGATTATCCATTGACTTGATTCATTGCTGCAAAGAATTGATTGTGGAACATAATGTCCCTTACAGGATTGACCCTAGATCAAGTTGACACACTTTGGACATGTTTGGCCATGGATCCAGAATGTGGTGATGAGGCTCTGAGTTGGTTCCTGAATCAGGCTGGCAACAAAGACCAGCATGCATTGGGCTTGGAAACTTTCAAACACATATTCTTCAATAAGGTAATGGTGGAGTGGTCAAAAGAAAAATACTGATATTATGTGTTCTGTCAGTGAAAGACAGGTACTGTTGTACCTAAATTAACTCACCCCATATTGACTAGGAGTGAGGACTCTCTTCTTGGAAAGGTTGGTTGGAAAGACATGCTCTAGGTCGGTGTTCAAAATAGACTTCCAGAGCTATGGCTTTGTGTGTTGTCAGTGCCACGTACATGTACGTATTTGCAAGAGGCAAAGACATAGACCTAACACACAGTGTAGCTTCTGTGTACATGTATATGTATGTTATAGTACTTCATTGAACCAGTTTGCCAGAGTTTATTTCAAAAAGGCAAGGTCATTATGGAATGTACACTTTAGCTCTGATTGAGCACACAAAAGAGCAAAGTTATCCTGAACATTTTGCATTTCAGTGAATTATTTTCACTACAAATTTTGTCTGAAAATAGTGACTTTTCAGCATGCAGTTTTTCATTTATGCTTGTTATGCTGTAATGATGCCTACGTAGCTGAACAAAGAATTATGTATACATTAATACAACAATTAAACCTAGAAGCCACTACTGCAGTTGTAACACACTTACTGATAGGTGGTATGTGTACATTACATACTCATCCAACCATTAGGGTGTTGGGACTTACCTACATGTCCATACACATGCGCATCAAGTTTAAACATGCGTGTGAAAATGATGCTACTGCAGTAATGCCATCTCCTCAACATTAGTCTGGAATGGATAATTCAATCCATTAACATTGGATTGAGATAAGACATTACGTGTTATCAAAGTGTATCTTTTTGTGTTCTGTTTTGTACAGATGCCTCAACTTGAACCTGAAAGTATCAGTATGACAGGGTTGAATCTTTTCCAGCAGCTGTGTAGCTTAGCCAGGCTAGCCAGCTCATCATCTTATGATAGTCCACCAGTAGAGGTACTGCAGTTGTATCTTTTATGGTATTCCTTGTCAGGCTGCCTGATGGTTGTCATGCTGTTAGATGACCTATGGTCTGCATTATTGACTGGTTTGTCTCGCCCTTTTTGTCTTGTCTGAGCACATGCCTGCCTAACATGGCAATGTTGGGTCTTTATATTTGCTAAGAAGTATACATACGCACACATGACCTAATTAATATGGATTGTCATGCCTTTAAAAGTTCAATTCTGTGTGTGTGTAACTTAATTTAGTAAACATCAAGGATAACACAACAGAAGGGATTTTTTTTGTCATTAAAGTATCTGTTTATTTTTGTAGATGCCGGGAATTGATCATCTGTGGAAAATTGCCTTAAGAGCCAAGAATACTGATGTTAGTCTGTCTGCAATCAAGTATATCAACTCATACTATATCAATGGTAACTCAAATTGATTTCTTCAGTAACCAATTGCTTCTGCAGTTGGCAACTCGTCCTATCAAGACATGCTGATTGGCTATATTGCAGTAGTTTACATCTTCTTGTCATGTTATTAATTTAGTAATATTCATTCTGTCTTGCAGTATGTTGTCTTTCATGTATTACAAAATTATCGTAATTCTTTAACCTTTTTGGTGATAATTGCTTTGAATCCTCCCGAAATCTTTACTTTGCGAGAAATCAAGGAATTCGTCAACTTCAACTTTTACCTTTTAGTGGGCATTTTCCATGTGAATTAAAATAATATGTCTGTATCTTTTGCACAAAATTTCCAAAACAACTGGTGGATTCAAAGTACATGTATATGTCCCGTAATTTTCAGAATGTAGGCTACTGCTTATATGTTGATCTCGCGCTGAAAAATGTCTCTGCGGCTTATACATTGGGTGGTTTATCCGGCAACCTTTGAAGGATAAAATCAGTCATGCCAAAGCAACGTGTACTGTGTGCAGGTGGTGTAGTCATGTTTTTGTTGGTTGCTGTTTACATCTGATAACTCGAACCTTGGTGAATGAAGATTCAAGTTGTCTGAATTTCAAGTTAACGGAAGTCCCCGAGTCATGGAGTCGCATGAAATGTGTACGTAACCACAACAAACCTTACTTGCTCTGCTCAGGCAATATCTTTAATTATTTTCCCGTTTCTAAAATTCATTTTCATGGTGTTTTTTTGCACACAAATAATCATTTTACTAAGTTTCTTTCTACAAGTAAATAAAAATCAACCGCTTAACGGTGTACCCTCGTGTAGCAAATCTTTTGTCTTTTCCCCGATCGTGTTCAGTGTGACATGCCACAGAATTTTGGGTTTGTTTTCACTTGGGTTTTCTCATGACATAACTCTCTGTGGTCACGTGGTTATCGGAAAGAGACAGAATTGGGATTGTCCATGAGTGGGTCTGCGATGATAGTAAGGCTGGCCCGAAAGTAGGATTCATTGCAGATGGGGTGTGGGGTGGTGTAAGCAGTGTGCGTGCCGTGCATGTGTGCGTACCGTGCATGCATACGTGCAACACAACCCGTTCCAGTGTGATGAATCGAACTAAGGTCTCGCGGTGGTCCTTCAACTACTATTTTTGAAGCAATTTGGCAGTTTTTTTGGATAGGCATCATAAAAACTTTGAGATAGTAAGCCTTTTGCAAGTTAACTTTGACCAAAATCTGGTACACTGAATTCTCAAAATTCACATGAACATAACAACTTGAATTCTCCATACTAAAACCACTGTTGCTATACCTTGTGATTCAGAGCAAGCTTGTGCTTAGTTACATAAGAGATGCCTTGCAACATTACACTGTTCTCAGTGGATAAGAAAGGGCACTAAGGAACCAGTCCATTCCAGAGATGGTGGTCACTATACAAAAGCTTGCCCCGAATCACGAGGTGTAGCAACAGTGTTTTTAGTCTGGGAAATTCAAATCGTTACGTTTATGTGCAATCAGATAACTCAGTGTACCAGATTTTATTCAAATTTAACTCGCAAATGGCTTATTGGACGTAGTGTTGTGGACATTTTGTAATACGGTTGTATTTTTGTACGAGAAGCCTATTCTTTTCGTGAGAAAAAGTTGGCCTACAAGATAAAATGGTTTTTTGACTAAACTGACTTCCAGCTATTAGTATTGTACATCCCTGTCCGCATAACTATTGCCGGCTGCTTGGAAAGAAGGGCAAAGACTTCAAATTCATTTTTAATGGTGGCACTCGTTTGCAGTCTTACATTTATTAGGATTGCATGTGTAGTGGAACCATTGACATATTGTACCGGTGCTTTAACTGGTGCAGCACAATGACCTTTGTGGTTGGATCATCAGCACTGCGGTACGGCTTATACGCTGATGCGGCTTATGCGCCAACTTTAATTCTTAATTTGCAATTTTTGTATGCTGCTTTTACACTGTGCAGCTTATATTCTGAAAATGACGGTATGTGGATGGTCATGCACAGTCTTTTGCCATGTCAACTGCCATGATTTGTCTTAATTTTTGTCCAAGTTTGCCCAATTATGTAAGTGTTATATTTCTAATAGGAATGAATACAGTAGTACAGATTAAAGTGACATTGGTTTTATTTCTTCCATGTAATTGGTTGCTTGCAGCTGGAAACGGTTCCCTGGAGAAGGAGGAGGAGTTTATTAAGCGATGCATGGAGAGTTTATCCCAAGCCTCAGCTAAACTAGACGTAGCTCAGGACTCCAGCCTCTTGATCCTTCAGAGAGGACTAACTCTTCTCAAGACTCACTTAGAAGCCTTCAGGAAAAGGTAGCAAATCAGGCAGTGTATTTTTCAAGCTGTAGTAAAATGGTTCTTTTGTAATTTTTTGTAATACCATTTGTACTGTTTCACCAGTTAACGTCAGAATTTCTTACCTGAAAAAGCTGCAGGGGACAGCTTTTTTCCCACAAAGTCTTCAACCCTGCAAACATGTAGGGAGGCACAGCTCTTGTGTTCAGGCATCAGTATTTTCATTCTTTTCCGTGTTTTTCATCTGCCCTGGTAAAAATTGTTGGGCATGTCCGTATGTCAGCCGATTCACATACCCACACAAAGGAGGTCTTTTATCCCCTTAACTCTTGTGTATATGGTGTGGGTGCTTCATATCAATTCTAATTACTCAAGAAAGGCATTTCCATCTTACTGTTGGTCGGGGGTTGGCCCATTTAGTCGCAGTGTAGGATCATCTTTTGTGCTTTGACCCAACCAAGCAAAATGCGTTAATGCGTCAAGTGCGGATACGAAACAAGAATTCTTAAACAAGTGTACACATCCTCTGTGGTACAGAGAAGGAAAAGTGTATGTGTTTATGCGTCATCCGACGTCAAGTGATTAAGAAATAAACCTAGCTAATTGAAAAAACTTGGTTTTCAATCTAACTTTGTTCCACAAATTTGAAACTATTTAAGGTATGGTTTCCACATTGCCTGTTTTGAAATGAAAAAATATTTTCCTGTTTTCAACTTCCCAGTGATTTTTGTCAAGCTGTAAATCTTCACTGAAATTAATTAAATGTTCTTGGTTGCACTTTGAAAAGTTGTCAGGAAAATAATATCACCCATTCAGAAGTATTCAGTTGTCTACGTTTGTAAAAAACAAAACACTGTAGATCAGGGTTGGATGTTTCTCATGTTACAAACACATTTTATTTGTCAAAGGTATGCATACCACCTGCGTCAGTGGCAGCTACAGGGCCGAGGTATTACTAGTCACAAAAGGCATCCACTGGAGGGTCACTCCCAAACACTGAGAATAGTTTGCCAATTGGCTAACAGGACAGAAAAGGTACAAAACATCAAGTCATTTGACAATCAACCTGTGATGATGTTGTCTTAACCAACCTATTGTGATACAGACTTCTTTTTGAGCATTGTAGATTTCTTCACAGCTATTCCGTTCTTTGTGACAACAGTGAGACGGTGTAAGAAATGATTTCATTATTTGACCGACAGTGCTACCATATGCACTGCCACTAAAACGAAGATGTCAGTTGCCTATGCCAGTGTGTTTCAATGGTATGTCCTGCCAACATGAGCCAATATGAGTGTTCATGCGGTGTCATTTACTGGCTATCCAGTGAGTCCATATGCTGCCTGTTAAGAACAGTCATGAGCATTACAGAGCAAAAACCTTGGATTATACATATGGCAAAGGTATGGAAAGAACTTTGTATACACGATTTTTAGTGTAATTTTGTAAATTCCTTAAAATCCATCTGACATCCACTGACATTACTTATTCAGTTTTTCCTTTTTAAAATTTGAACTTGCAGTTTACAGTTGAACTGTGTTCATCAGACTTGGTTGCTGACTTGAGGGCAGAGGTGACGCACATCATTGAGCAGTTCCAACAGCAGCAGTTACAGCAGCAACAACAGCAGCTACAAGAGGATGAAGACAGCACAGTCAATCATCCCACTTCTTCAGGCTTCTCTGGTTTGACTGGTGCCCTATCAGGGTCAGCGATTCAGGGTCAGAGGCCTGTCCGAATGATATCTGCAGGTCATGAATTGACCCCTGACCTTGATGAGAAAAGCCTGAAAGAAATGGCATTCTCAGATCTACAGGTAAATATATTTGTTTTGATTATTTGCTTTGAAAATGAAAGATGCATCACACTTGGCACATATGTTCTTCGGACCATACTGATCATTTTAAGGGGCAGTGCCAATGAAAACAACTGTGCATTTAGCAGTGGTTGCTAGAATACATGTTTACCCTAGCAACAAGCTTTTTCAGCCGACTAACTGCTTTAAAACTTTTAAAGTGTCTTTAAATCATGAGAAGTACCATGCCTCTGCCAGAAAATACATTTTTGAGACTCTCCCCCCCACCCCAAAGTGCAGTGATATTTGTGTTGTTGCTAGGCAGCGAGAAAATGCACTGAAACAATATTTTATATCTAATTGTAGGTGTAAAAAAATCGCTCCACTTTGCCATTTCACCTAACTGCTAAATTCACAGTAAGTTCTGTGAATTAACTTGCAGAAATCTTCTTGCAACATTGATGTTTTTCAACGTACAGCTGTAGGGTTGCTTGCGTGTACTGCCGGAGTATGCTTTATCATCACCATTAGTATACACTGGTTGCAACATTTCTATCCCACGTTTGTTTTCATGGGACAGCGGGAACCAGCGCAGCATTGCTTTAATACTGAGCTTTGCGCATGTGTTTTCACCACTGTGACAGCGAGACATGAAGGAACTTGTGAAAATAACGGAATTTCTTGTCGAAAGTTGCATGTGTAAGCAGGAAAACATATAAATAAAAATGTTTAACGTGGAAAAAGGTTGTTCAGGGGTGATTTGTATGTAAAGACGGAAAATACAACAGGATTTTTTTTTTTAATTTATTTTTCTAACTTCTGTATGTAGCTTATATGCATTATCTGGTGCTGTTTTCTTTAAATCACCAATTAATCTCTTTTGCTTTAACTGCATTTCTTTTACATTTAAGAGGGAAAGGTTTTCACTGACATTGTTTGGTTTATTGGGGGATTTAGACTCAGGTTATATAAGCGTAGGCCTTACTGCAAGTCAGATATACTTTTTCTTGAAGCATTAATCCCCAAGATAACAGTACACAGTCAGACGGTGGTACATACCTTGTACATTCCAGCAATGTAAGACTGACTGAGACCATTTTACTGCCCAACAAAAAGAAATCTTGCCCATAAAAAGTGTGACATAAAAAAAACATGTTTCGTTGCCACAAGTCATCCCTTATATCATACGAAAGATCGATTCATACTTCTTTTATCTGTAATAGAAGTTTCAGTAATTGTTTTCTAGCAAGGTCAGGGTGCAGCAACCTAAAATACATCAGAACATTTAAACAAAACACAACCCATCTTTAAAGTTTCAACTTTTTGCCAGTACCTCACATGATATGGACAAAGTTCATATCATGAAAATCAGAACATCGAGCTCTACCTACTTACCACGCCATCTTAACAGACAGCTGAATACATTTTAAACGTCTTGTTCATTAAAAACTTTGCTCGAACTCTCACCTTTTCATGCCACTCAAACCACATGTGTGGGTCTGCAAAGAAATTTTACACTTTGACCTCATTAAAGCAGGCACTGCGGACTGACTGTTGTTAAACAGGGAGACTGTCTGAGGTGTTCATGAAGAAGATTTTAACATGTATTATAAATGGAAAGTGATGCTTGTTGATAAGTTAAAAGGTTTCTGTTAATATTTTCTTAAATAGACTTTGTCACTTAAGTTCATTCTAGTGACTTGCAGTTCGAACTTGGTGGCTTGCAGTTTAAATCTGGTGACATGCCGTTCAAACCTGGTGACTTTCTTGAAGTTCAAACATGGTGGCATGCAGTTTAAACCTGGTGACGTGCAGTTTGAACCTGGTGACTTGTAGTAGAAATTTAGTGACTGGCAGTTCAAACTTAGTGACTTACAGTTCAAACATAGAGGCTTGCAGTTGGAACTCGGTGGCTTGCAGTTTAAACCTGGTGACTTGCAGTTCAAACCTGGTGACTTGCAGTTTAAACTGGGTGACTTGTTTTTCAAACTCGGTGACTTGCAGTTGGAACTTAATGACTTTCAGTTTAAACCTTATGACTTGCAGTTCAAACCTGGTGGCTTTCAGTTCAAACTTAATGACTTGCAGTTCAGACCCGGTGTCTTTCAGTTTAAACTTAATGACTCACAGTTCAAACCTGGTAACTTGCAGTTCAAACCTAGTGGTGTGTAGTTTAAACCTGTTAATGTGCAGTTCAAACCTGGTAACTTGCAGTTCAACCTGGTGACCTGTCAACGTGGTTGTTGCTGTTGTAGTGCTGTTATTTGACTCAGTGGTCATGACCGTCCTTTGATGGTTGGGATGAAAGAAGTATTCAGAAAATTAAAACCAAAGTAAAAGTTGAGTACCCTGCTGATGTTGGAAGTGTTTGATGTGTAATATTTCAGAATAAATGTGGCTATGTCATATGCTACAGATACATTAAACTTTCGTTTATGTAAACCGAGATGGTTTAGCCATTCCTATTAGTTGAGAGCCTGTTGTGTGGCCTGTCTTCAACAGTTGATAAAATGCTGGCTAGCTGTGCTGTTGGGCACCTCATGCAGTACGTGCCATGCACTTGCCAGTCTCTATATAAAAGATTGTTAAGACTGGTTGTGAGAGGAACATACCATAACATGGCAAAGCGATTTTTAAAAAATGAAGAAAAAGTGCTTCACAAATCAGATATTTGTAACTGTTGAACTTGTATGACTTTCAGGAGATAATTAGTTGTGTCGATTCTCCGAGTGTTCTTACATAAAATATTTAAGACTGGCTAAGCACATATTTATTCCCTTAATTGAAAGCTCTTTATTCTTTTTTCCCTTTAATGTCTGTATAATTGAGATTCACTCTTATTGCTGATGTGACCTAGGTATTTGCTGGTAATTACATTTTGTTCATTGAATGAACGAATAAATAACTTAAAAAATATAACTACCCATTAAAAATATTGCGTGTATTTTTGTCATCTTGATATCCAGCTGGTGTTTGTTTCCTTTGGTGCTGTCCGTCGGGAAAGGAAACGAGATGGTATGGACCTGCCAGCCTCCTGCTTGCCACCTCCCCCACAGGACAAACTTCCCATGATGTTGCTATTGCAAGAGCCACATTTTGGCTGCCTCTTTAACCTGCTACGGCAACTCAATGAGCTTCAAGCAGAAAATTATGTGAGTCTACAAGGGGAGAAGGAGTGTATCCTCACAGAAAGTGAACTGTTTCCTGTGCACATTTTTCTGGTACACATGGCAGAATGTTGTTGGAGTTCTGGATTCTCAAAAAAAACCCATGTTTTTTAAAATCATGATTTTTATCAACCCTGACTGCAGTGTACAGAAAATTGCAATGTAAAAAAAAGGTTTGTTTTTGTGATAAGACCCAAAAGTGTGTTTGAATGGATTGACAATAGTAGACCCTTGGCTTGGTCCCATCTTCAAGGGCTATAAATTAGTGACAAACCTTATAATTGTAACTCTTGTGTCTCACTTCTTTTAAGCTTACTCTTGTCAAGTCTTAGCCGTGACCACTGCCCTCATTTCCATTCTGATCAGCATACTTAGGACTAGTATTTGCTGCAATGAAAAAGTAATTGACACTTTTCTTATGAAAACATTGCTGTGATCTCAAGAGACCACACTGTTATATTCGAAAGCTTACCTTTGCTGTGATTTTATAAATAGGAACAAAAAGGAAAGTTCATCCAAATCTGCCTTTGTTATCTACATGTAACTGGCCTATTGAGCATTGCAGGACTCAGTGTAAGATATTCAAAGAACACAATTGCCTTGTTCCCATCGTTGAAGGATGGAGAGGCTGCTCAGGAACTGCTAGGTAGGACTCAGATGTTGTCTCGCAATGTGTGGCATCTCCTGATGCTCCTGCCAACCAGTCCAGACATGCTGAACAAGTTCAAAGTACTGACTGCAGCAACGGTATGCATATATGTAATTCTTGGAGAAATACAACCATATGTGTACTTCCATTGAAGCTGTGATTATCCAAAATATCCAGTGTGTAGGTTATGCTTATTTTTCCTGCTAATGTTACTCTGCTCTTGCTTATACATGTACTTCACAAGGATAGTTCATTGTAATACATACCATCTTCAGCCCTTAGGGGTATTGCCATACTGGTAGCTTACCCTGCTATTTGTTCTTGCCACAGTATAAACTAAGCAAAACAGTGCAGTATTTGCAGGGAAATCTTCATTGCAGAAACTACAAACAACAGATGTTGTAATGGGGCACATTTTAGGTTCACAGTTCCCCAGCTGTAAATGGTTTTTGAAACAGTGTGAAAAGAGACAAGTGGAAAGATTTTATGAGATGTGTTTTCATCCAACTGTAATAATGTTTTTAAAGGATTCAGCAGCATCAATCAAAGATGATCATATAGACACTGAAGAGGATACAGAAACAGCTGAAGATGAAAGAGCTAGTGGTCTGTCGGGCTCTACACCTAATTGGCCAGAGCTTCTAGATGTGAGCAACACCCACAAGTTGCTGTACTCACTTCAAATTGTTGAATCACTTGGCCAGCCAGGAATGAAGAAACGGGCAAAATCACTGGTAGGATGTTTTGCTTGAACAGTCGCAGTTTGAGGCAAATGATAAGCTGTTTGCTGAGAAATTAGCGTGTAATATGAGGGTTTTGATGTCAATTTGTCAACATTTTTGTGAACAGTAAATAGTATTTTGTTGTAGACTTGGATGGCAGGTAATGTGATTGATATTGCTGAGCACCGTAAGCCATTCTGCTGTGATTTGAATGGAGGTGATTCTGAAAATTAAAACAGGCTTTGGTTGAAATATTTGTCAAAACAAAAACAGTGTTACTACAATGCTCTAAGATTCTGGCCAGCTGAATTTATTTGTGGCATATAATAGAATGCATGCAGTTGGCTCTTCAGTATGGTTCTGGTTATTAGAGCCATGCTGAAATAAGCTACTCAGACAGCAGTCTGTATATCAAGTGCTCTGCGGTGATCAATGTATACCATGGTTTTAGTGCAAGCTAGATACTTACCCTAATTACATTGCTTTGGGGTACACACATGCACACTTACTCTTTCTGAGTATTTGCAAAGACCAAACTTGATGTACAGAAGTCATTGTTGGGACATGTATTCTGAAGTCACCACAGTGTGATCCAAAAGAAAACTTCTCAACACAGTTCTTACCATAGCAGACAGTCCAGGAATGTTGTACTCCAACATTGATTATTCCTAAAGCTTCTCCTGACAAATAGGACTGTATCAAATACGCAAAATGTTTTATGCAAATTCTGGTAGTAAACATTTGCTTGAGTTGGGAAGCTTATCCCCAGTTCCCTCTCGTACAGAAATATTTGGTTAAACGAAACTTTCATTTATTTTCAGCCACGTGTTGGAAGAGGAGATCATAGTCCTGTGACGAGCTCATCAGAATTGGGCACTGTAGACCTTAAGGTGAGTGCTTGTGACATTGTTGTTTGTACAGTTGGGCATTTATGTGAAGAGCTTTCTTATAACAAAGTACTGTCATGAACTTAAAAGAGCAAAGTTGGGCAGGGCAAAAATCCAAATTAATTTACATCTCCCTGGCACAAATCTGTCTTTGAAATAATTGTTTGTGGTCCCACTGCTACATCTGATTCGAACCAGCCAGCCAACACCGGCAAGCTTGGTGTTTGAGTGGTTAGGACGTCTGCACTAGTAAGCAGGAGGTCGTGGGTTCGAGTCCCACCCGAATAGGCTTGTGGTTTTTTTTTTCACAAGCCTTCGGTGGCATACACTTGGTATACAGTGTTAAAATACACGTCGAGCAGGGCAATTAATAAATTTACATCTCCCCCCGCGTAAATCCATCTTTGACATAGAACCGGGATTGAAATTCTTCGAGTCCCTGAAGAATGAAAGCATTCTTCAAGTTCGTGTTGTCGTTCGCTGCTACATGTGCTGTGCATGCCTGGAGCGCCCACACTGTGGTATTTCCTCTCCATGATAATACATCGCAAAAATCAATATTCATGAGATGCTAATGAGTCATGATGACACTTCAATTTTTACAATACCGGACTGGACTCGCAGGAAATATGGGTACAGAAACTGTTTTTTTTTTTATTAACACAAAAATGTGTATTGCAAGGGAGATATTGATATGTGCCACTTTTATTAGACTTGGCTTTTCTGAGTAGGATTCAACATGAGAAAAGTGAGCATCATTGGAGTCAGTCTTTAAGTCCTCTCAAATTCTCTTTTCCTTTGTCAAGGACGCCATGCTGAGAGAACATTTCTTCAAGATCATATGTTTGGTTTGGTCAGTTTTTGCCCTTAAAAAGAATCAGCACGCGACAGAGACTGGTTCTGGATGATGATTCTCAGTGTGTACATGTTCATTAGGCTAATATGTGAACTACCAACAGATGTCCTTTATTGATTTAGAGAAAAGCCGAGAGTGAAGGCCAGTAGGTTGAAAAAAGGAACGAAAGAATATGGCTTGAAAGCCAAGAGTTATGACCTTATAAAATGCAAGTGCATGTCAAGTTAAAGACTGTGTACATTGATGTCACTCCACTGTAGTGTATCTGCAGAATATTCTATACATTTCAGACAGTAGCTCTGCTGATGCCTGCTGTTGTTAGACCAATGCACCTTTTCAAACTTTTGTTTCTTTGACTTTGTTTCAGGGGATTCATCTCAACCAAAGTGAATGTTGTCTTTCAACTACTGAATCAGATGATGGCAAAGACTCATGGAACATCATGGTAAGTTGTTTTTTAGGTCGAGTTCGGGCAGTCCGTTCTTGACACAGGTTTCGTGTTCTCGCGCTCAAACGGCGGGAACAAGACTGAAGAACACTGTTCTTGGAACAGGATCACACACCACCTCCTTGTCACGATTTTACACGAACACA